ACCCAGAAATAGAACAATGTGAGTCCAGTCAGCTGACCCTTAACAGAGGGGAATAGGCAATTTAAAGTTACGTGGTGATCTTTTCAACACATAACTCTGAAACAACTTGACATCACATGCAAAAAACAAACCTAGATGAAGACCTCATGCCTTTCTCAAAGTAGATCAGAGGGTCTAAATGTAAAATGCAAAACTATAAAACTGCTAGATGATAACATGAGAAAATATACATGATCTTGAGCAACCATTTTTATAGCTATGTCAAAAGTATGATCAAAGGGATAAAAATGATCATCTGGATTTCATTAAAGTTAAAATCTTCTGCCTTGCAAAAGTACTTTGAGGTAATAAGAAGACAAGCTGCATTGTGATCAAAAGTCTTCACAAATCACCTATTTTGTAAAGAAACAGTATATACATTCATCTGGTTTGGAGAAGCGAAGAGGAAACAAAACGGTGAGACAAAGGACAAAGGGTGGACCAATGCAACAGAGATACTCACAGGACACTGTGTTGGAAATGACCTTTACAAGTTGGAGGGAGAGGAGGAGGGACAGCGGAAGCAAAAGCCGGAGACGTGACAATGCGCAACAAGAAATGCGCTCATGACCTGTAACTGTAACCACTTTGTACATCATCTTTACAATAAAATAGAAATTTTAGAAAGAAAAGAAACCGTATCAAATAAAAAGAACATTCAGACCAGGATGTAGCTCAGTGGCAAAGATCTTGCCTACCACGTTCAATGCCCTGGGTTCAATTATCAGTACCAAAAAAGAAAAGGAAAAAAAACACAGTCAAACACAAAGAACTTTAAAAATTCCAACAATAAGAAAATGAAAGTTTTAAAACTTAAAAACCATCTTCACCAAAAAAGACTAGAAATAATAAATATATGAAAGATGCTGTACCCAAACATCATCACAGAATTGCAAACTAAAGCAGCAGCAAACACCACTATCTATACATTAAAAAGCCAAAATCCCAAGCACGGTCTAGACCAAAAGCTAGAGGGGCTAGGATGTGGAATGGCAGGAACTGGTTGCCTTTGCTTGTGTGAATAAAAGATGGTACAGTACTTCATAAGACATTTTGGAAATTTCTAGCAAAATAAACATCCTCTTACCATGAGATCCAACAATCGCTCTCCTTGGTATTATTAAAATTTTATCTGTACAAAAGCCTGCACATGGGTAACAGCAGCTTTACTCACAGTTGGCACAAACTACAAGTAGGTGCTGGGTAAACTGTGGTCCATCAGACAGAGGACTACTACTTGGCACTGAACAGAACTACCCCACCTCAGAAAGACACAGAAGAACCTTAAATGTATATTACAGTGAAAGAATCCATTCTGGAAAGGCTACATACTGGATCATTCCAACTCTGTAATGTTCTGGAAGAGGCAACGCAGAGACAGTGGGAAGACCAGCGGTTGCCAGGGGCTGGGGTGGGAAGGGTGAATGTATGTAGCAGAGTCAAGCTTTGGAGCACATGTTATTGTAGGTTGGCCCAACCCGGAAAGTACACCAGAAACACCCCCGTGAGAACGCAGATTCCAGCTGATGACAATATTGGGCCACTGATTGCAACGCTCAGCCACAGCAGTACAAGATGTGCCAGCACACACTCGTGGGAAAGCGTGGAGAGGTAATGGGGTGTTTGTGACTCTCTGTACTTTGTGCTTCAATCTGGACATACAGCTGCTCTGAACCCGTGTCACCCGCAGACTCTCTCCAGAGAATGTGTCTCTCCAGGTATACCTACTCCTCTGAGCAGTAAATGAGACTCGCCCAGTGATGCCAGTGTAAGCCCACGGGCAGTGCTGTGGGAAGTGGCAGGGTCTGCAGGGAGAGTGGCCGCCCGCCCCAAGGGCTCGGCCTGCTGCTGACTGCCCAGATTCCTCCCACAGTGCAGTTACCCAGCCCACAGAGAAGGCCTGGACAGTGCTTACCCAAAGTAGTAACTGCTCTCTGGGGGAGGCTGGGGTTGCTTCCCCTCCCGCGTACTTCATCCACATGAGAGCTTTGTCCGTGTCAAATTAGAAAGGCAAAAATGGCATCTTGCTCATAAGAAGCTGGCCATCCAACAACAGGGCCTGGGCCTGTGCTGTGCTGGAGGGGCCGTGCAGAGAACCAGCATCTGCGTCATTGCGAAGAGTCACACCGAGGAGAGTCCAGAAATGCAGCCAGGAGAGGCCTGGCCAGCTCAGGGAGTCACCACTTAGAATCTTCACACCAAGGGAACCCATGTCCCGAAATGAGCTTTCCGAAACCTTGTAATTCCTCCGACCTGCGGACGGTGGTGGCCCAGGGACAGGAGCTGAGGCTGAGAAGGGGACATTTACCCAGGGGCAGTGGGGAGCTGGATGTGGAGGAGCCGGGGAAGAGACCTCATACACAAAGGAAGCCAGGATTGTTGTACACCCCCCAGACCAAGCTCCCTAACAGCTGGAAAAGAGCTAGAGGCTGCTGGCTCTGAGACTGCCCAGCGCCTGCTGGAGGTTTACTCTGGTGAGTACATCCGTCAGGGTGCCACCTACATTGGGAGTAGCAGGGGCTGGACGCTGCCCTGAGTTGGGAGCCCAGGTTGGTGAATTTTAGCGGGGTGCTGCCCCACAGCAGTACTGCACACCGGGATGCTTAGGAGCTGGTAGAGACACCCAAGGCTGGCCCCTGACTAAAGTCTGAGCCATCCTGAGAAGCAGGCCAAGCACATGTGGGGAATTCTGCTCCATCTCGGGAGCAGCAGGCTGTGGAGGCTTGCATGCACCGGTGTGCTCCGGCCCAGGGCACCGCAGGTCTCCGGCTGAGGACACAGAGAGGTGCTGACGCTGTGCCTCAGCAAACTGAAGCCATCCGTGGAAAGACCAGGCTCTCCTTTTGCTCCTTGGAGACCAGTCGAGAGACCAGGACCAGGCCCGGGCCCAGAAAGGATGTCCACCCCACAGGTCCAGAAAGGATGCCCACCCACAGGACCAGAAAGGATGTCCACCCCACAGGACCAGAAAGGATGTCCACCCCACAGGACCAGAAAGGATGCCCACCCACAGGACCAGAAAGCATGTCCACCCACAGGACCAGAAAGGATGTCCACCCCACAGGACCAGAAAGGATGTCCACCCCACAGGACCAGAAAGTATGTCCACCCCACAGGACCAGAAAGCATGTCCACCCACAGGACCAGAAAGGATGCCCACCCACAGGACCAGAAAGGATGTCCACCCCACAGGACCAGAAAGGATGTCCACCCCACAGGACCAGAAAGGATGTCCACCCCACAGGACCAGAAAGTATGTCCACCCCACAGGACCAGAAAGCATGTCCACCCACAGGACCAGAAAGCATGTCCACCCACAGGGCCAGAAAGCATGTCCACCCCACAGGACCAGAAAGCATGTCCACCCACAGGACCAGAAAGCATGTCCACCCACAGGACCAGAAAGCATGTCCACCCACAGGGCCAGAAAGCATGTCCACCCACAGGGCCAGAAAGCATGTCCACCCCACAGGACCAGAAAGCATGTCCACCCACAGGACCAGAAAGCATGTCCACCCCACAGGACCAGAAAGCATGTCCACCCACAGGACCAGAAAGCATGTCCACCCCACAGGACCAGAAAGCATGTCCACCCCACAGGACCAGAAAGCATGTCCACCCACAGGACCAGAAAGCATGTCCACCCCACAGGGCCAGAAAGCATGTCCACCCACAGGGCCAGAAAGCATGTCCACCCCACAGGGCTAGAAAGCATGTCCACCCACAGGACCAGAAAGCATGTCCACCCACAGGGCCAGAAAGCATGTCCACCCACAGGGCTAGAAAGCATGTCCACCCACAGGACCAGAAAGCATGTCCACCCACAGGACCAGAAAGCATGTCCACCCACAGGACCAGAAAGCATGTCCACCCACAGGGCCAGAAAGCATGTCCACCCCACAGGGCTAGAAAGCATGTCCACCCACAGGACCAGAAAGCATGTCCACCCACAGGGCCAGAAAGCATGTCCACCCACAGGGCTAGAAAGCATGTCCACCCACAGGACCAGAAAGCATGTCCACCCCACAGGGCCAGAAAGCATGTCCACCCACAGGGCCAGAAAGCATGTCCACCCCACAGGGCTAGAAAGCATGTCCACCCACAGGACCAGGCCAGAAAGGATGCGGACAGGGAACCTCAGGACCGCGCTGGCCCTGCGCTGGGCCTGGCTGGAAGGAAGGTCCATTTCTGAGAAGGCTCTGCTCCTGCCTGGGCCAAGGGGTCCACTGGGATGCTGCACCCTCCCTGTCCTGGGCGGGGTCAGGGGTCAGGGCTGCACCCTCCCCTGTCCTGGGCGGGGTCAGGGCTCCCCAGGAAGCCCGGCTCTGGGCCTCTTCTCAGGACAGGTGTCACCATGGCACCTGGGCGCCTCTGGCCTCGAACTCGGGGCGAAGGCGCTGTTCCAGGCTCGCCGGCGGATTTCCAGCCTTGGGCGAACGCGAGCCCCGCCCTCGAGCGGGCGGCGGCCCAGCGGCCGTGACCTGCTTTTCATTCCCGTCTCCCTGCTCTGGGGAGGAGAGAGGGCGGGGCAAGGGCGGGGGCGGGGCAAGGGCGGGGCGGGGCATGGGCGGGGCGATGGGCGGGGCGGGGCGGGGAGAGGGCAGTCAGGACGGGGGCATGGGCGGGGGCGGGGCGGGGGCGGGGCGGGGCGGGGGGCGGGGCGGGGGGCGGGGGCGGGGCGGGGAGAGGGCAGCCAGGGAGGGGCGGGGCGAGGGCAGAGCCACGGGCGGGGCGGACGGCGCCCCCTGGGCGGCCTCGACCTTTTTATTCCCGTCTCCCAGCGCTCTGGAGGAGGCAGGGGAGGGGGCGGCTCGGGGCGGGGCTCGGGGCGGGGCTCGGGCTGGGGGGTGGTGGTAGGCGCGGGGCGCGGGGCGGGGCGCGGGGCGGGGCTTGAGCGCGGGGCGGGGCCGGGCGGCGGCGGGCGCGGGCCCCGCGGGGACCGAGCCCAGCCAGGCGTTGGGAGCCCGTGCGGGCGCTGGGGCGGCGGAGCGCCGAGCCCGGGATGAGGGCGCCCGCGCTGCTGAGCTGCTGCTGCTGCTGCTGGCTGCTGCTGCCGGTGAGTGCCGCCCGCGTCCCGCGGCCGGGCCGGACCCTCTCCCGGGCTGCGGGACCCGGAGGCGCAGCCCCACGGCCTCGCCAGAGGCGGGACCCGCGTCTTCTTTGACTCCAGTTAGATGAACTGGCTCGGCTGGTCGCTGCGCCCCGGCCGCGGGTCCCCTGCTGAGAGTTCCCGGGTCCCGGCCGCGGGTCCCCGAGTCCCGGGCTGGGGTCCCCGAGTCCCGGGCTGGGGTCCCCGAGTCCCGGGCTGGGGTCCCCGAGTCCCGGCCGCGGGTCCCCGAGTCCCGGGCTGGGGTCCCCGAGTCCCGGGCTGGGGTCCCCGAGTCCCGGGCTGGGGTCTCCGAGTCCCGGCCGCGGGTCCCCGAGTCCCGGGCTGGGGTCCCCGAGTCCCGGGCTGGGGTCCCCGAGTCCCGGGCTGGGGTCCCCGAGTCCCGGCCGCGGGTCCCCGAGTCCCGGGCTGGGGTCCCCGAGTCCCGGGCTGGGGTCCCCGAGTCCCGGGCTGGGGTCTCCGAGTCCCGGCCGCGGGTCCCCGAGTCCCGGGCTGGGTCCCCGAGTCCCAGGCTGGGGTCCCCGAGTCCCAGGCTGGGGTCCCCGAGTGCCAGGCTGGGGTCCCCGAGTCCCGGGCTGGGGTCCCCGAGTCCCGGGCTGGGGTCCCCGAGTCCCGGGCTGGGTCCCCGAGTTCCAGGCTGGGGTCCCCGAGTCCCGGGCTGGGGTCCCCGAGTCCCGGCCGCGGGTCCCCGAGTCCCGGGCTGGGGTCCCCGAGTGCCAGGCTGGGGTCCCCGAGTCCCGGGCTGGGGTCCCCGAGTCCCAGGCTGGGGTCCCCGAGTCCCGGGCTGGGGTCCCCGAGTCCCGTGCTGGGGTCCCCGAGTCCCAGGCTGGGGTCCCCGAGTCCCAGGCTGGGGTCCCCGAGTGCCAGGCTGGGGTCCCCGAGTCCCGGGCTGGGTCCCCGAGTTCCAGGCTGGGGTCCCCGAGTCCCGGGCTGGGGTCCCCGAGTCCCGGCCGCGGGTCCCCGAGTCCCGGGCTGGGGTCCCCGAGTGCCAGGCTGGGGTCCCCGAGTCCCGGGCTGGGGTCCCCGAGTCCCAGGCTGGGGTCCCCGAGTCCCGGGCTGGGGTCCCCGAGTCCCGTGCTGGGGTCCCCGAGTCCCGGCAGGTCGCTGCACCCGGTGGTCCCTCCGCACCGACGCCGCATCCTCCGCCCCCCGCCGGGCCCGGCTGGAGAGCGGCTGGGGGTGCGTAGCCTGGGCCCCTCCTGGCTCCGGGCCCGGCCGGTTCATGTCAGTGTCCGTGGGAACCCGAGGACCCGCGTGTTCCCGCAGAGCCTCGGCCGCGCGGCCCGGGGTTCAGCCTCCTCCTTGGCTCCGACCCCAGGGCCCCCGCCCTGAGCGTGGCACGCGTGTCTCACGGGCGCAACCCCTGTGCGTGTGGTGCGCACGTGTCAGGGCGCACCCCCTGTGCGTGGCTCGCGCGTGTTAGGGCGCAACCCCCTGTGCGTGGTGTGTGCGTGTCAGGGCGCACCCCCTGTGCGTGGCTCGCGAGTGTTAGGGCGCACCCCCCTGTGCGTGGTGTGTGCGTGTCAGGGCGCACCCCCCTGTGCGTGGCTCGCGCGTGTCAGGGCGCACCCCCGTGTGCGTGGCTCGCGCGTGTCAGGGCGCACCCCTCTGTGCGTGGTATGCGCGTGTCAGGGCGCACCCCCGTGTGCGTGGTATGCGCGTGTCAGGGCGCACCCCCGTGTGCGTGGTATGCGCGTGTCAGGGCGCACCCCTCTGTGCGTGGTATGCGCGTGTCAGGGCGCACCCCCGTGTGCGTGGTATGCGCGTGTCAGGGCGCACCCCCCTGTGCGTGGCTCGCGCGTGTCAGGGCGCACCCCCCTGTGCGTGGTGTGCGCGTGTCAGGGCGCACCCCCGTGTGCGTGGCTCGCGCGTGTCAGGGCGCACCCCTCTGTGCGTGGTATGCGCGTGTCAGGGCGCACCCCCCTGTGCGTGGCTCGCGCGTGTAGGACTCACCCCCGTGCGCGTGGTGTGCACGTGTCAGGGCGCACCCCCGTGCGCGTGGTATGCGCGTGTCAGGGCGCACCCCCCTGTGCGTGGTTCGCGCGTGTTAGGGCTCACCCCCGTGCGCGTGGTTCGCGCGTGTCAGGGTGCACCCCCGTGCGCGTGGTGTGCGCGTGTCAGGGTGCACCCCCCCTTGCTCGTGGCACACGCGTGTCAGGGCGCACCCCACGGCGGTGGGAGGAAGGCTCGCTCTTCTGGAGCTTTTGCGGCCAGCGCCCTTGTTTAAGGAAAACTGATCGCTGATCGAATTCTGGTTTTCCGGCGCGCGCCACGGCTCGGGTAGCCCCGGAGCCCGAAGATGACCCCAGAGCCCGAGATGACCAGGAGCCCAAGATGACCCCAGAGCCCGAGATGACCCCGGAGCCTGGAGATGACCCCGGAACCCAGAGATGACCCTGGAGGCCCAGAGAAGCCCCGGAACCTGGAGATGGCCCCGGAGCCCAGAGATGACCCCAGAGCCCAGAGCCTGGAGATGGCCCCAGAGACCTGGGGACGAATCTGCTCCAGTGGGCCTTCAAGTGTCCCAAAGCGCGTCCTGAAAATGCCGGCTACTCCCAGGCTTTGAGCACGTTTTTATTTTAAAATGGATATAGCCCTCACCAACTCTGAAATGTAGACAATCACCTGCTGATGTGTGAGAAACACAAGGCTTGCAGGGAACCTCTACGTTTGGTGGTTGAGTTAATAGATTAAGAAGAATCCAGCCTAGGTTTCTTCTTTTAATTCTGGTAGGAAATCTTGCATGGAATTCTGGATGACCTGTATCAGTAGGGGGGTAAACACAGATGGCCACAATATGGCCAAGGGTATGATTCTATTTCTTACTATTTTAGTAAAAGTAAAGTCTTAATGAGAGGAGAGAGTAAGGTCAAGACAGAGAAAGAGAAATACAGAGAGAAAGTGTGGAATATGAGATGAAGGGAGAAAAAGAAAGAGGAGCAGGAGGAGGGAGAAAAGAAGGAAGAAGAGAGAGAAGGAGAGAGAAGAGAAGGAGGGACGTGGGTGGCGGCTGGGGACAGCTACGGCCTTTTCCTCTCGCTGAGGTCTGAGACAGGCACAGAAACAAAGAATGTGAGTGTTTGTGAAGCAGAGTCGAGAACGGTGCTGAGATGCAAGCCTGCGGGCCTCTGCCTGCTACCTGCCGGTGGAGAGCATCGGTGACACCGCACACGGAGTCTGTGACCTGGCTGTGTGTCCTGACTAGAAACTGTCCATGGCTGTGGAACCACCGTGGTGTGGCTCTCCCCTCTGCCCTCCTTTCCCATGCCTCTCATCTATTCGAAAAACTCCTTTACATCAAGTGCTAGGGTCAAAATGATGACAGTTTTGTCTGTAAGGGTTAAGTTTCCATTGTGTCCTGAAACCTTTAAAAATACCATTATCCTCTTACAACCACAGTGAACACAGATGGTCCTCAGATGAGGCTCTGTGTATAGCACACCGTCCTTAAGAATAAACATGCGCTTACTTGAATCAAATCAAAGGCTATGAAGAGGATGGCCTTGAATAATGAGTCATTATGAGTTCGTTAAAAGAGCTCCATTGCCCTTAAATTAATACTAACAACAATGTAGTGTGTTAACTTTCCTGCTCAGAATCAAAAAAAACTTTATTTGATTTTCTTTCATTAAAAAAAACCTTTTACAAAGTGAAAAGATTTTTTATTATTAATAAGTTTTTTATTGTGAAAATACCACACAGAAGGGTTACAATTACATGAGCAAGGTAATGAGTGCATTTCTTATCTAACATTGGTGCTTCCTCCTTTGTTTTTCCTTTACCATCCCTGCCCTCCCATCTCCAGGACTACACTCCCCCCCCAACCCCACCTGCCAAAGTTGTAAAGTTTGTTTTCAACGACTTGTACATCCCATTGTTGCAATGGGTCCACTTGTATCCCTATTTTGAACCTGTATCCCTATTTCGATGATTTGTTTTTTTCCCTTCCCCTCCCCAAATTATACCAACATCAAATACAGTGAAAGCAGGGGTTATACCATGGGGGAGGGACATACAAAGCAACAAAGAAATCATCTTATAAATATGTTAGAAACAATCACAAGAAAGAAAAACCACTTGAGTCCTTATCCTAGGGTTCATTTCACTTCACATCAACTTATCTGACCGTTTCTGCTTGATTCAGACATGTACTAGTAATTGCAAATAAGGGAAACCATGGGACCTATGTTTCTTTGGGCCTGGCTTACTTCACTTAATATAATTTTTTTCCAAGTCTTTCCATTTCCTAACAAATGGGGCAAAGAAAATGAAAGTGATCACTTTTTTATTTTTTTTAATACTATTTTATTTATACTCATGAAAAAATGGCTAAAGCTATCATATTTATAGTCATACTGATACTGGAAGCAGGATTCAGAAAAAATCATATTTAAATTCTGTAAAGAACAATTGATAAAACGCTGATTGGTTATAGAGAGCAGAGTAGGAAGAAAAGAATAAGCTATAATTTTCCTTTTCATTAAAGAGAAGCACCCGCTGAACTTATTATATATATATATGTCTACACCACAACATAATACATAATGTAGTGATTGTACTGATTTTATTACATTTACTAAGCCATTTTATGTTCCTCGCTCTCAGTACAAAGAAATAAAACACCATGGAAGGAAAAATATGTCCTCATTGTTACAGGAAGAGGGTCTGCTGTGCCCTTACCTCCCGAGAGTCCTCTACCACAGGGAACACTCAAAGGCTCAAGTGAGCAACACAGCATTTTGATTCTGACCCACTTCCCAGGACCCCATGCATGTGTGGTGGCTGCAGAGCGATCGGCTGAACCATGTCAGCTTGTCCCTATTCTTCCTCACAAAGTGAGTGTAATGCCTGGTCCACCTATAAACTACACCTACAGGCTGCGTCTCTAGTGTAAGGTGGAAGAGAGGCCCATTCTTACTTGCATACTTACATACAGAGAAAAGCCTTGTGGTCTAAAGATCACTGGATTGACTTGGGTTGTTGTAACAAGATGAGGTATACATCAAAACCACTACTTTGATCACTTCTTCAAACAACAGAGCAAGTTCCTTTTCTAGGCTGACAATTAGTGCTGTGTTGGCATTGCTACTGGCTATAAAACTCAGCAGGAGAGGTAAAGGATTGAATCGAACCACTTGGCAGGTGTTAAAGTAACAGATGATGCTTTTATTCTTTAAAAGTCCAAGTTTGCTCCCTTGGTCTATTGCAAGTGCAAAAGTAGATAAGAAGCCGGATCACAAGGCATGGTCAGCAAGCATTGTCATCGGCCAGTTTGGTAACAGGTACACCATCTCTATCTGACACAGTAGTATGGAGTCCTTCAATTCATAGAGACATCACTTTAGGTCATCTGCCATGATGACCTCTCACAGGATCAATCTTGCACACCGGGGTTACTTGCCACTGGAATGTCCCCACCATACTTGAGCTAAAGACAAATCCCCTGCCAGCTCCTGTCACCTGGCTTGTGACCTCGTTAGTGCTCCTGGAAGCATTTGCTAGGCCTTCACAGCCAAGTGACTGATCACTTTTACATGAGTGTTAGTTTGAAAGCAGTTTAGAATCATGTTGATTTTTGCTTGACTTGCCTCTTGCACAATTTAGATGCTTCTATTTCTTTCAACCTTGAACAGGTGAACAGCATCCATCCAGAATGCCGGTTTCATCTGGAAATACAGGAGGAAGAAACAAAATGTGCAGAGCTTCTAAGCACTCAACCCAAAAGCCACAGAGGTAGGTCCTGGACGGGCTCATCTGCTCATTTGGGAAAGGCAGACTTCTTCGCATAGCCTCCTCTCCTGACTGTGGGCGGGTACTGATGGGTCGGGTCTGCCTTTCCCAGTGTTAGCACACTGCAAGCAAACCTCACGTAGCAGTGTGCCAGGGAGGGCATCGTGCAAACCTTGTAAAAGAAAGCCTCGGTCTCTAACAGCAACGGTTTCCCTGGCTTGATAACAGTCACAATTACGTTTTCAAAGTCAGCTCTAATTTTTCAAGAACTGAGCATTTGTTTGAATTCTTCCATTTTAAATCTTGGCCATTCTTATTACAGTGACTTTAGTCCATTTAATAATGATAGAAACTCACCCCAAAACCTTATGAACACTGAAATAATACTTTTATTTTCTTGAAGACAGACCTGTTGTAAACCCTGTGAACCTGTCCACTCTGTTCTCGGTTGGTCAGAAAGAGACTGACCGGGCCTCCCACAGAAGGGCTTTGGGACAGCACCCATTCATCAAAAGTAACAACAACTTTTATCTTTGTGCTTTCTTTTTTGCCAGCCCTAGGGCTTGAACTCAGGGCCAAGGTGTTTCGCTGAGTCTCTTTGTGCTTAAAGTGAGGCTCTACCACTTGTGCCACAGTACCACTTCCAGCCTGTTCTGAATAGTTTATGGAAGATAAGAGTCTCACAGACTTTCCTGCCCAGGCTAGCCTTGAACCGCAATCCTCAGATCTCAGCTAGCATTATAAGTGTGAGCCACAGGAGCCTGGCCTTGTGCTTTCTTTTTCTATGATCTATGCCACAATTTTATCTTCTTCAAGAAAGAAAGTAAAATCAAAGTAAGGTTCTGTTAAAACAGCCCACAGACCTCCAGCAGACCTCAGAATCTGGTCTTGGTTCTAGACTGGTCTTTCCAATAGAACTCAAGATGAGCCATACAACTGATTTAAGTTTTTCTAGTAGCCACGTGAAGTAAAAGAGAGGCATGTAATGTAGGTTTTAATTTTACATTTACCCAAATGTATCTAATTCTTTATCATTTTGACTTTTGTTCAATATAAAGTTATTACTTTAAATTATTTTATGCTGTCTTAGAACCTAGAATATTTCTAGTGAGCATTGAGCCCCACTGAGGCCACATTTCAGAGATCTGTAGCCAAAGGCAGCCTGTGGCTCTGAGGCTGGACAGAGCAGCGCCTTTGCCTTTCCTGTCCCTTAAAGAAAGAGTCCCAGGACTCTTTCTAGCCTTCAATACCTGTGATCCTGACACACACACACACACACACACACACACACACACACAGATCTCAAGGCCACACCCTCCAAATTGTCTTGCGGAACTCTGTCCAGAGAGTATGTGTCCAGGAGCTCAGCTTTGTAGCACCTGCCGGAAGGCAGTCTCTATGAAGAATGCAGGCTGACCTTGATGATCACAGCCTCAGGGAGAATCCAGAGCTCAGGACCGCTGGATTGGGAAGACAGACCGTTGGAGCCATGAGCCCTGGGGTCCTGGGAAGAGCAGCCTCACCCCAGCCAGCTGCTCACCAAGGAGATGCAGGTTACAAAATGCCCAGCTCCCGATTTTTATAGGATTAAGCAGGAAGAAAGCTTTATGTAAAATACTTAATTTTTTAAAGTTTGAAAACAGTACTTTAAAAAAAAAAAAAAGGAGCCAGGCACTCTGTGTCCAGCGCTGGCCTGGGGCTGGCAGTGGCTCTCCGGTGTGCGTACACCCACTTGCCGAGCCTACACTCCCCTACAGCACACCAGCACGTGGAGAATGCTCATATCTGTGTGTGGACACCAGCAGGTTCCTGGGCTGCTGTACCCCAGGAAGAGCTGGAGAATACTGCTTGCTTGCTTGGGTACAAGTGACTCAGTCTAGACTGTAGGATGCCCCTGTTCTCTCAGTTCTAGACTGTAGGATGCTTCCTTGTTCTCAGTTCTAGACTGTAGGATGCTTCCTTGTTCTCTCAGATCTAGACTGTAGGATGCTTCCTTGTTATCTCAGCTCTAGACTGTAGGATGCCCCTGTTCTCTCAGTTCTAGACTGTAGGATGCCCCTGTTCTCTCAGTTCTAGACTGTAGGATGCTTCCTTGTTATCTCAGTTCTAGACTGTAGGATGCTTCCTTGTTATCTCAGTTCTAGACTGTAGGATGCCCCTGTTCTCTCAGTTCTAGACTGTAGGATGCCCCTGTTCTCTCAGTTCTAGACTGTAGGATGCTTCCTTGTTCTCTCAGATCTAGACTGTAGGATGCTTCCTTGTTATCTCAGTTCTAGACTGTAGGATGCTTCCTTGTTCTCTCAGTTCTAGACTGTAGGATGCTTCCTTGTTCTCTCAGTTCTAGACTGTAGGATGCTTCCTTGTTCTCTCAGTTCTAGACTGTAGGATGCTTCCTTGTTCTCTCAGTTCTAGACTGTAGGATGCTTCCTTGTTATCTCAGCTCTAGACTGTAGGATGCCCCTGTTCTCTCAGATCTAGACTGTAAGATGCCCCTGTTCTCTCAGTTCTAGACTGTAGGATGCTTCCTTGTTCTCTCAGATCTAGACTGTAGGATGCTTCCTTGTTATCTCAGCTCTAGACTGTAGGATGCCCCTGTTCTCTCAGATCTAGACTGTAGGATGCCCCTGTTCTCTCAGTTCTAGACTGTAGGATGCCCCTGTTCTCTCAGTTCTAGACTGTAGGATGCTTCCTTGTTATCTCAGTTCTAGACTGTAGGATGCTTCCTTGTCCTCTCAGTTCTAGACTGTAGGATGCTCCTGTTCTCTCAGTTCTAGACTGTAGGATGTTTCCTTGTTCTCTCAGATCTAGACTGTAGGATGCTTCCTTGTTTTCTCAGTTCTAGACTGTAGGATGCCCCTGTTCTCTCAGTTCTAGACTGTAGGATGCTTCCTTGTTATCTCAGTTCTAGACTGTAGGATGCTTCCTTGTTATCTCAGATCTAGACTGTAGGATGCTTCCTTGTTATCTCAGTTCTAGACTGTAGGATGCCCCTGTTCTCTCAGTTCTAGACTGTAGGATGCCCCTGTTCTCTCAGTTCTAGACTGTAGGATGCTTCCTTGTTATCTCAGTTCTAGACTGTAGGATGCTTCCTTGTTATCTCAGTTCTAGACTGTAGGATGCCCCTGTTCTCTCAGTTCTAGACTGTAGGATGCTTCCTTGTTTTCTCAGTTCTAGACTGTAGGATGCCCCTGTTCTCTCAGTTCTAGACTGTAGGATGCTTCCTTGTTATCTCAGTTCTAGACTGTAGGATGCTTCCTTGTTATCTCAGATCTAGACTGTAGGATGCTTCCTTGTTATCTCAGTTCTAGACTGTAGGATGCCCCTGTTCTCTCAGTTCTAGACTGTAGGATGCCCCTGTTCTCTCAGTTCTAGACTGTAGGATGCTTCCTTGTTATCTCAGTTCTAGACTGTAGGATGCTTCCTTGTTCTCTCAGATCTAGACTGTAGGATGCTTCCTTGTTATCTCAGCTCTAGACTGTAGGATGCCCCTGTTCTCTCAGTTCTAGACTGTAGGATGCCCCTGTTCTCTCAGTTCTAGACTGTAGGATGCTTCCTTGTTATCTCAGTTCTAGACTGTAGGATGCTTCCTTGTTATCTCAGTTCTAGACTGTAGGATGCCCCTGTTCTCTCAGTTCTAGACTGTAGGATGCTTCCTTGTTCTCTCAGTTCTAGACTGTAGGATGCTTCCTTGTTATCTCAGTTCTAGACTGTAGGATGCTTCCTTGTTCTCTCAGATCTAGACTGTAGGATGCTTCCTTGTTATCTCAGCTCTAGACTGTAGGATGCCCCTGTTCTCTCAGTTCTAGACTGTAGGATGCCCCTGTTCTCTCAGTTCTAGACTGTAGGATGCTTCCTTGTTCTCTCAGATCTAGACTGTAGGATGCTTCCTTGTTCTCTCAGATCTAGACTGTAGGATGCTTCCTTGTTCTCTCAGTTCTAGACTGTAGGATGCTTCCTTGTTCTCAGTTCTAGACTGTAGGATGCTTCCTTGTTCTCTCAGATCTAGACTGTAGGATGCTTCCTTGTTATCTCAGCTCTAGACTGTAGGATGCCCCTGTTCTCTCAGTTCTAGACTGTAGGATGCCCCTGTTCTCTCAGTTCTAGACTGTAGGATGCTTCCTTGTTATCTCAGTTCTAGACTGTAGGATGCTTCCTTGTTATCTCAGTTCTAGACTGTAGGATGCCCCTGTTCTCTCAGTTCTAGACTGTAGGATGCCCCTGTTCTCTCAGTTCTAGACTGTAGGATGCTTCCTTGTTATCTCAGTTCTAGACTGTAGGATGCTTCCTTGTTATCTCAGTTCTAGACTGTAGGATGCCCCTGTTCTCTCAGTTCTAGACTGTAGGATGCTTCCTTGTTCTCTCAGTTCTAGACTGTAGGATGCTTCCTTGTTATCTCAGTTCTAGACTGTAGGATGCTTCCTTGTTCTCTCAGATCTAGACTGTAGATGCTTCCTTGTTATCTCAGCTCTAGACTGTAGGATGCCCCTGTTCTCTCAGTTCTAGACTGTAGGATGCCCCTGTTCTCTCAGTTCTAGACTGTAGGATGCTTCCTTGTTATCTCAGTTCTAGACTGTAGGATGCTTCCTTGTTATCTCAGTTCTAGACTGTAGGATGCCCCTGTTCTCTCAGTTCTAGACTGTAGGATGCTTCCTTGTTCTCTCAGTTCTAGACTGTAGGATGCTTCCTTGTTATCTCAGTTCTAGACTGTAGGATGCTTCCTTGTTCTCTCAGATCTAGACTGTAGGATGCTTCCTTGTTATCTCAGCTCTAGACTGTAGGATGCCCCTGTTCTCTCAGTTCTAGACTGTAGGATGCCCCTGTTCTCTCAGTTCTAGACTGTAGGATGCTTCCTTGTTCTCTCAGATCTAGACTGTAGGATGCTTCCTTGTTCTCTCAGATCTAGACTGTAGGATGCTTCCTTGTTCTCTCAGTTCTAGACTGTAGGATGCTTCCTTGTTATCTCAGATCTAGACTGTAGGATGCTTCCTTGTTCTCTCAGTTCT